TAAGAGTGAGAGCTCACGTGTTTGGCCATCAAAATGGATAGACATTAGACATTGCGATACATCATTGTCTGTCCCATTGGCACAACATGTTTGCATATTTATGTGCATCTCTGACACAATACATATAGTGTGTATTCAGTATTACCATTGCTAAACACTACTCCACCCAAATAAAAATATAATGCATTAAATTTGGGCGTTTGCTCTGAGTTATAAAAATGGGCTCCATTTCCATCTACTTTATTATTATGATATACCATAGAGTATAGCAAACTTTTATGCATTACTTATTTGTTTCATTCATTTTTTAGGGATATATTAATTTCCATTATTTTATATATTCTGGTATATATAGTACGGTAATACAGTATTAAAAGTTTTACAGTAATTATCACAAAACAATAAGTGAATCCAATTTAGGCTACAGAGTCATTATAAGCGCCGGCACTACATCCTAAGCGTTAATTTTTAAACATCTCTCAGTCCTATCATTATTTAAATTTATATTTTCTCGCCTCTAATCTGTCAAACGATACAACAATTCTGTGTTTACTTTAACTATTATTCTCTGCTTAAGTCATATAATAATACATAATATAATTGCAAAACTTTTTTCATTGTACAGTGCGTTCAGACACAGAGTTATGTGTGTGGGCTATGGCTGGGAAGCTGTGGTCCAAGTGATCTATCATCACATAAACCACTGCGAAGTGATGCTAACATTATTACATTAAATAGAAAACAAAACGCCCAGTCCTTACAGTCCTCCCTGTCCTCCCTGTCCTCCCTGTCCTCCCTGTCCTGCTAAACCGCTCCAAAACTGTGTTGTGTTACACAAGTTATCCATTTTCTAATTGCATCGCTACTAACGGATACGACTGCCTATGAGTGCATATTTCACTCAATGCATTGCAAACGCCATTCAGGAAGTCATATATCACATAATAATGGCCAGACATCCCACTGTTATATTCAAGAATCAAACGGCAAAAAAGTTATTAAAGATTCATTGGAAATAATAATCTCTTGATCACAATGGCAACAACATTGCTATGTTTGTAAAGGACTAATATTTAGAGTCATATGACTTTGAAAAATGATAATCAAATGATTGAATAGTGAATTGTGTAGACAATAGGCATTCAATGGCATCACTTAGACATACAGTACTCCACAACACACTGTCGTTACGCTCAACAAAAAGTCGACTTTAAGTGCCAACAAGTTGTCAAACAAATTACTAGTCAAAGATTTATTAGTTTTTCAAACTAATTATTGCATTCATTTATATTCATGTCTTATTTGTTTATTGCATTTCACAACAAACTTATTGTCCGCTAATTCGTTCGTAAATAACGGATTCATCTATAGCTGAGTCTAACCTACAAATCACTCAATACTCAATAACTTTTTTATCTTCACCATAACCACACTTTCAGATATTTATTATGTCTTTCAACTAATCACATACGAGGGATTAGTATAGAAATCATTTCAATCATTCATTTCTTTCACTCTTCTCCGTGTGTTTGATGTCTAGAAACGAGTGGACTGTGAATATTGTCCAATAATTGTGTCAATTTTATAGCAAATTTTGTGTCAAATCGCACCGGACTTTAACGTTGCAGTCGCTGTCATAACTAATTTAAATCAGAATAGCTTTTCCCAAACGAAAATCAGTACAAAACACTGATTCCAACATTCAATTGACTCAATATTATGAGAGACTAGTACTGTATATGAGGTGCATATGTGGCGTCCATAAGAGTATATCAGATATAAAAACAAATTGGATTCCAAACAATTGGTTTCATCGCAAAGAATTGGTGGAAAATATTTCTTACAATTTATAGCCAAAGCAAACCTAAAATCAAATGAATTCCCTATTCATAAGAGAATTTGCGATATATATGTGAGCGTTGAGTGCCATCTGAACTG